CCGAAACTCAACCAATGTCTCACTTGGCCATGTAAGTTTTGGGTTCAGTTTTGGTTGAGGGCTATTTCTACTAGAAAATCTAGACACCTCGGAGGGGCAGGATAAGCGGTCGTTGAGCGAGGCAGTGCTCGCTTAACAATGGCAACGACTTAACGATTGCATTTGTGAGCCTCCATTAAAGCCGTGAGTTGAGGACTAAGGGTATATCCATGTATTGCTGTAATCCCCAGCTACCGGTACTGCCTGAAAAGCTCATAAGGGAGTTGAGAAAGACACCCATCTTAACGATGAAATCATTGCAGCTTTTTCTGCAGCATTTTTGGGGAGCAATTTGTCATTGCCTTCTTGACTGTGTTCTGTAAGGGCCGAGAAAAGACGCCTTGGCCCCATGGTTTGAAGGAGGACTTGGAACCGGAACTATCCAACAGGGATGACACGTCTCCCGTGGCACCTTCGGAGAGGCCAGGGGCTGAAGACGTTGCTGTCCCAAGCCACTCCGGCATTGGGGGAGTTGGTTGACTGGATGGGGAGCTGCTTAGCCTCAGGAATACAATAAGAATAGAACAGAAGGGGAAAGAAGACAATAAGAACAGAACAGAACAGAATAGAATAAAGGGAAGACAGTGAATAGAAGAAAAAAGAAAAGAAATGTGGAAGGGAAAAGAGGACAGTGGAATGGAATGGAATTTAGAATAGAATAGATGGAAGGGAAGACAGTGAATAGAAGAAAGAAAGAAAGAAAAAAAAGAAAAATTAGAAGGGAAAAGAAGACAGAATAGAAAAAGAAGACAATAGAAATAGAAAAAGAAGACAATAGAAAAGAATAGAACAGAATAGAATAGAATAAAATAGAACAGAATAGAATAGAATAAAAAAAGTGAATAGAATAAAAAAAGAAAAAAGAAAAATTAGAAGGGAAAAGAAGGCAATAGAATAGAAAAAGAAGACAATAGAATAGAAAAAGAAGACAATAGAAAAGAATAGAATAGATGGAAGGGAAGACAGTGAATAGAATAAAAAAGAAAAGAAAAATTAGAAGGGAAAAGAAGACGGAATGGAATGGAATTCGAATAGAAATAGGATAGGATAGGTTAAAAAGGACCTTGGAGATCTAGTCCAACCCCCTGCTGAGGCAGGGAACCCCATACCGTTTCAGACAAACAGTTGTCCAATCTTTTTTCTTTTAAAACTTCCAGTGTTGGAGCACACACAACTTTTGGAGGCAAGTCGTTCCACTGGTTAATTGTTCTAATTGTCAGGAAATTTCTTCTTAGTTCTTAGGCAGCGACTTTGAGACGCAGCAGATCCCCTCTGAGGAAGAACGGCCGCTTCCCCCCACCGGATCTGAGGTCAGGGAGAGTAGAGCGGAGGCAACCTCCAGGGAGGTCTGTGAGGCTGCTTGGGAAAAGGCCGCTCCATCCCTCCTCACAAGGAACACTTGGCTTGGGTTGACTTAAGCCGAAGCCAACAGGGGAGATTGTCAGGAACAATTTGCTTTGCTTTGGCACGCCCGCCCTCCCCAGACCCCCCCCCGCCATGGGGACTCGTGGCTTGCCTTGTGCCTTTGACTTGCCCTGTGGACCTTGGCTCTGGGCTGTGCCTGGTGAGCTTGCTTCTTTGTCTTTCCACTTCCCTCTCCGCTTTGCGACTTGGTTTCGTTTGCTTATTGGCTTTCGTTTATGGGACTGTGTGTGGCAGCCTTCACGAAAGTTTGGAGTACAGTTTTACCTGGCAGTTGTGCCATTTAACGGAGCGATAAAAGGACTCTTATCGAAGCTTGCCTGGGTCATAACAGAAGATTGCTCCGAAACTGGCTTTGGGCCGAAGGTTGAAGTAGGTCTCGCTTTCTAGCTTGGTGCATTTAATAAGTCCACCAACTGAGGGGTCCTTGATGCTCTCTGAGTGTGCTGGTTTCCTTGCAGACGTTTCATGACCCAACTAGATAACAACATCAGTGCTAGAAGGGAGTGAAATGTGGAAAAGAAGAGGAGGACGACAACTGTGGGGTCCTTGGTGCTGTCTGAGCTTGGTGGTTTTCTTCAGTGGTGGGATTCAAATAATTTAACAACCAGTTCTCTGCCCTAATGATTTCTTCCAACAATCAGTTCACCAAACTGCTCGGTAAATTAACCGGTTCTCCTGAACTGGTGCAAACTGTCTGAATCCCACCACTGTTTTTCTTATAGATGTTTCACAACCCAACTAGGTAACTTTTTTTGTTGTCAATTGCTTACAAGATAATAGGTATCAGTAAAAACATAGTTATGGATACATATAAGAAAAAATAAAACAAAAGAATAGAACAGGGACAGTACACGGGTGCGCTTATGCACGCCCCCTACAGGCCTCTTAGGAAGGGGGTGAGGTCAATAGTAGACAGTCTCAGGTTAAAGTTTTTGGGGTTTGGGGAAGAAACCACAGAGTCAGGTAGAGTATTCCAGACATTGACCACTCGGTTGCTGAAGTTGTATTTCCTGCAATTAAGTTTGGTGCGGTTAACCTTGAGTTTGTATCTATTGTTTGCTCTTGTGTTGTTATGGTTGAAGCTGAAGTATTCATTGATAGGTAGGACAGTGCAATGTATGATTTTATATACTATACTTAGATCGGACTGAAGGTGACATAGTTCTAGATTGTCTAGGTTTAAAATTTCAAGTCTGGTGACAGAAGGTATTCTGCAACGAGTAAAGGAGTGGAGAACTCTTCTTGTGAAATATTTCTGGACTTTCTCATCTGTATTAATATCAGATACGTAATGTGGGTTCCAGACTGATGAGCTGTATTCGAGTATTGGTCTAGCAAATGTTTTGTATGCTCTAGTTAGTAGTGTGATATTACCAGAGAAAAAGCTATGTAGGATTAGGTTAACAACTCTTAATGCCTTTTTGGCTATGTAGTTACAGTGGGCTCCAGCACTTAGATCATTAGAGATGAGTATTCCAAGATCCTTGACAGAGTTTGGATCATCAACATGGTCATCATCAGTGCTAGAAGAAAATGAGATATTGTGGGGGGGGGGCAGGTTGTGGAGCCCTCTGAGCTTGCTTGGCTTTTTTTGCAGGTGTTTCATGACCCAACTAGGTATCATCAGTGCTACAAAGTAGGGTGGGGTTTGGGGAATGAAGAGGAGGAGGAGGAAGAGGACCATGGGGTCCTTGGTGCTCTACGCATGCTTGTTTTCTTGCAAACGTTTCATGACCCAACTAGGTAACATCATCAGTGCTAGAAGGGAGTGGGGTTTGGGGAGGGGAGGGGAAGAACAGGAGGAGGAAGGCTGTGGGGTCCTTGGTGCTCTCTGAGCTTGTTTGTTTTTTTGCAGACATTTCATTAGCCAACTAGTCCTTGACTAGCACTGATAATGTTACCTAGTTTGGATCATGAAACATCTACAAGAAAATAAGCAAGCTCAGAGAGCACCAAGGACCCTTCAGGTCAACCCTGAGCTACAAATAGTCTCCTTTATTGGTACTACACCAAGTTTTAATTGCTAGTATCTTGCATTGGGTATAAACTTTGCAATGGTTCAGAACCAATTCTAGATGTGATCAGAACTTACTGGGCTCCTTGGATGCAGGAGCTCAACCCCATTAGGTCGTCCTAAGGGATATTCTTGTTTAGACACTGCATTTTTCATTCCGTAGTCCTCGGCTTACGACCGCAATTGAGCCCAACATTTCTGTTGTTAAGTGGACGTCAAATGAGTTTTGGCCCTCTTTTATGGACCTCTCTTACCATGGTGGCTGTTGTGGCCCACCAGACTTAGACAGTGAGGAGGTTAGGGAGGAAATGGGGCCAGTCCTGGAGTCTGGGGAAGGTTCTGATGGATGCTCTGTGTCAGAAACAGAGATAGGGCTGTGTGACAGTTCTCAGCTGCCTTCAGAGTGGAGATAAGTGGGGAAGAAGAACAGCTGGAACCTGTTCCAGATGCGCATATGCGCAGAGCTGTCAGAACAATTAAGGAACGGGCCAACTCAGAAGGCACACGTGGAGGCTGAATGGCCCCTCCCTAGGGAATAAATAGAAGCAAAGGGGGAGTGGTGGATGCAGGAGACAATTAGTTCGCTTATTATTATGAAGATTTGCTTCGGCTTTGGAGACTCCTTTTCCAGGGGAAGCTCTCTTGGCCTGGCAACTATCCAAGGACTGATAAGGTCTGTTCTTGCACTTAACGGGACTTTTGTGTGTGTGAATGCCATGAATTCACAGTAACTAAATAAAGAGGGGTTAGTAGGACAAGGAGTCTTGTTTCTTGGTTCTGCTAAGCCCGGGTCAGAACAACGACTAAGGGAATCACCGTAGTGGTTAAGTCAGGAACATGGTTGTTAAGTGAATCCGGCTTCCCCATTGATTTTGCGACCCCAGGATACTGCAACGGTCATAAAATGACCCAGATGAATTCAAGCACCTGAATTTTGATCACGTGACCAAAGGGAATGCCACAATAGTCATAAGTATGAGAAATGGTCGTAAGTCACAATTTTCAGTGGTCTTGTAACTTCGAATAGTCACTAAATGAATGGTTGTAAGTTCGAGGATTACCCATACATTCAGGAAGGGGGAAAAAAAACCCAGGAGGGTGTAAGTACATATAGGCAGTCCTTGACTTAGGACCACAGTGGAGCCCAACATTTCTGTTGCTAAGTGAAACTTTTGTTAAGTGAGCTTTTTCCCCCACTTATGACCTTTCCTGACACCATTGTTAAGTGAATCTCTGCAGTTAAGTTGGCAACACGGTTGTTAAGTGAATCTTGCTTCCCCAGTGACTTTGCCCGCCAGAAGGTCGCATAAGGGGATCACACAACCCTGGGACGCTGCGACCGTCATAAAAATGAGTCAGTTGACAAGCTATCTAAATTTTGATGATGTGACCATGGGGATGCCGTAATGGTCAAAAGTGTGGGAAAACGGTCATAAGTCACATCTTTCAGTGCTCCTGTACCTTCTGTCACTAAATGAACTGTCGTAAGTTCAAGGACTTCCTGTACATTCAGAAAGGGAGATATTTAGAGGGTACAACCATGGATTGCAGTTTTAAAAAATAAAATTGCAAAAAGGAGCCAAAGCCATATCGGAGGGTTGTGACAAAAATGATGGACACGTTGCATTCCAAATATTCCATTTAAAATAATTAAAAGAAATTTATATATATCCCTGTCATAAGTACGGTACTTTCAACGAAGTCTCAAATAATAAATTAGAAAAGGGTCCATGGCAAGGGGTTGACAGGATAAGCCAGCCTCTCTTTCGGATGGTCAACTCTTCCATCACTGAGATTTGATTTCGGGATCCATCTCCGTCAGGACCGACAGGGACACTAACTGGATAATCCGAGTCACACGGGCTGGGAAAGAAAAGAAGATCGGTCAGCATTCGGGCAGAGAGCGACAATTCAGTGGAGAAAGAGATTCAGACTTGGAAATGTAAATAAGAAGGGATCTTTTATCATTTATGGGAGACGTGTGATAAAGACATTTCAGAACAAGGTTCATATCTTAATACAGAAAATTCTTAAAGCGAAGATAAAAAGAAACTTTTCTTTTGGAGTTGATGGAAAAAGACTTGGGGGAGGAATGGAACTTTGATCTTATATACCGTGTTTCCCGAAAATAAGACCCAGTCTTATATTATTTGAGGCTCCAAAATAAGAATTAGGGCTTATTTTCAGGGAAGTATAATATCAGGGTGATCAGCCTGGCTGGGTGCCACATTCCCCTGCCCCAGAGCATACACAAGAGACGGTGAGTGCATGATGTGAGCAGCAGCTACAGCCCACTGGCCATTTGGGCAGCACATTCTGGGACTGCGCAGCCCACACAGTGCAGGTGAGTTAATTACCTGTGGAAGCAGCAGATGGAAGCTGAGGTGGGGAAGCACGCGCAGACGTGGCACATGGGCCACAGAAAAGTTGAGAGTGGCCCGGAGTGGATGGGTAGCTGCGGAAGACTCATCTTCATGTGACGGCATCAGCAGCAGATGGAGGCAGAGGCATGGGGGGGGGGGGGGCAATCCAGATGTGCGGGCCACAGGGAAATCAAGAGACACAAAGACGAGCCTCCCGTGGCTGGCCCCCTACTCCATGCCACTGTCTCCCAGCTTGCCTGAGGCCTGTGCAGCATGTTGGGATCACCTTCCTTCCTTCCCCTCCCCACCTCCATCTCAGCTGCTTCCTGCTCTGACCCATCAATTCTCAGCTTTCCACGGCCCACGCAGCACATCTGGATCACATGCCTCCCCTCCCCATTCCTCTGCCTCCATCTGCTGCTTGTATAGGGGATCAACTCACCTGCACTGTGTGGGCTATGGCTGCTGCCAGACACCATCGGGCCCTGTGCCCTCACCACCTCTGGTACTGGCCAGGCACACACACACCTACACTCACACACACCCACTGGCTGATGATGACCTTAACGGGGGCTTATTTGGGGAGTAGGGCTTCTATTAAAAAGGCAAAGTTTCCCCCGCACATCCATGCTAGTTGTTTCCAGCTCTGGAGGGCAGTGCTCATCTCAGTTTCTAAGCCGAAGAGCCAGCACAGTCCAAAGACGTCTCCATGGTCATGTGGCTGGCATGACTAAATGCTGAAGGGGCACGGAACGCTGTTACCCTCCCACCAAAGTGGTCCCTATTTTTCTACTTGCATTTTTACATGCTTTCGAACTGCTACGTTGGCAGAAGCTGGGAGCTTACTCCATTATGCAGCGCTAGGGATTCAAACTGCTGAATTGCCAACCTTCTGATCGACAAGCTCAGCATCTCAGCCACTGTATTCCTCGGGCTTGTATTAGAAGCACGCTAAAAAAAAACAGGTTAAGGCTTATTTTCTGGTTAGGTCTTATTTTTTGGGAAAAACACGGGTATGTTGACAGCAGCAAGACTACTGTATGCACAAAAATGGAAGGACATTTTTATTCCCACCATGGATGTATAGCTACAGAAGCTGATGGAGGTGGCAAAGATGGTTAAATTGACCAATTTTTTCTTGATCAAAGAAAAAAATATAAGTGCTTTTGTTGAGAGAGAGAAAGAGAATGGCTGTTTCTTTGTTTTTGCAGTGATCCTGAGGAAGGAAATTTCTGTATTTCTTTGCTTGATATTGGTAGGTCAACCAATAAGATTGTGGTCAAGGATAGTGTGCTGAAGACCCTTGGTTTGAATTAGATAATATCTCTTTATTAACTCTCCCGCATTCTGCCTCTGAAATCCAAGTAGGCAGATAACAGAATAGCAAAATGAGAGTTGGGAGGGGCCTTGGAGGTCTTCTAGCCCAACCCCTTGCTCAAGCAGGAGATTCTATACCATTTCAGACAAGTGGCTGTCCAGTCTCTTCTTAAAAACCACTAGTGATGGAGCACCCACAACTTTTGGTGGCAAGCAGTCCCACTGGTTAATTGTTCTCACGGTTAGGAACTTTCTCCTTAATTTCAGGTTGCTTCTCTCCTTGATTAGTTTCTATCCGTTGCTTCTCATCCTGTCTTCAGGTGCTTTGGAGAATACCTTGACCCACCCCTCTTCTTTGTGGCAGCCCCTCAAACATTGGAAGAATACTATCATGTCACCCCAGTCCTTCTTTTCATTAAACTAGACATACCCAATTCCTGCCACAGTTCTTCGTATGTTTTAGACTCCACTCGCCTAACCATCTTCTCTACACTCTTTCTAGAGTCTCAGCATCTTTTTGTATATCATGGCAACCAAAACCTTATGCAATATACCAGGTGTGGAATATTGCATCCAGTATTGGTCACCACGATATTTATATAAATGATGCTGAGATCTTCGCATGGTATTGCTTAATTTGTGGGATTGTGTTGTGTTCTTCCATCCTCTGTGAAGATAGATGTTCTTTTGAATATTTGCAAAGGGGCCAAAAAATGCCTGTCAATCTATTTATTCCCATGTTTACAGTTTCTTCCTCTCGTAGTCTTTTGGGAATTTTACCACTGAAGGGAGACATCAGAAATCCCTACAGTAAAAGCTCCAATTCACTCACCCGTCATTCGCCGTAAGCAGCTTGGTCTCTTCTGATCTGGGACCCGTACCACCAGGAAGTAAACCGGAAGTCCAGACGCCGCGATGGCAATGCCAATGGCCGAATTGATGGGGTCGGTGTAGAGCGGTACAGCCACCAGGAAGATGGTACAGAGGCAGAAAATGATGGGGAAAATGATGGTCAACTAAAGGAAACAGAAGCGGGAATTGGTTGAAGTCTCCTATTGCTGCAGAAATCTCACAATTCCACCCACCCATCACTTAATTACTGCACAATTTGCTTAACAACTGCAGCAACTCGCTTAGTGACCTTGGCCACAAAAAAATCATAAAATGGGGCAAAAGTCACCTTGATTGGTAATGGGAACTTTGGCCTCCCTCCATTAAAGTCATAAGTCGAGGACTACCTGTATAGTTACCAAGGTGACCTGTGGCAATGGAGGTTTCATATATTACACAGCTAACATCCCTCTACCTTGAGTGGACGTTCTCTAGATGGTTCCTTCCAGCGAAGATACAGTTGTCCTGCGATGGACAGGCCCACAAAGAACCAGTAGCTGAAGCTGTAGTAGTTGATGAGTTGAAAGATGTCTTCCACACAAAGATAAATCAGAGCCATGGCTCCCTAAGACAGACAGACACCAGAAGAAAAGCCAAGTTCAACAGGATTAGCAGAATAAAATTTTGGTTTTTCCAATAGAACATCTAGAAATGAGTAAGTGAATATAACTAGAAGCCAGCAACGGGTTTGTTAAAAACAGATCATGCCAAACCAATCTTATTTAATTCTTCAACATAGTGACTAAATTAGTGGACCAGCAAAATGCTGTGGACATAGTATACTTAGACTTCAACAAAGGCATTCAACAAGGTAGACCACAACTTAGTTCTTGGTAAACTACCCTGTTTCTCCAACAATACGGCCTCCCCCAATAGGAAATCCCAGCATGTTTTATAGGCATGAAATGAAATTAAGCCCCTCCCCCCAAATTAAGGCCTATATTAAAACATGCGAAATGGGGGGGAATGGTGGGGGGGCTTGCCACTAGGAAGTACTTTTGTTGCACACCCGGATATGGCGCTGCCTGCGTTGACCCCGATACGAAGTGCCCCACCAATGCAGAGGTCAACATCCAAGCCATCGCTGCCCGCCCGCCCGAAGATGCAAAGGGGGGGGGAATTAAGTCACCCTCGAAAAGACGGCCCAGCCATTTTTGGGGGGCTCAAAAAAAAAAAAGACCCGGCCTTATTATATGAGAAACACGGTAGAAAAAAGTGGGATAGATAGTGACATCATCAGATGGATTTGTAACTGGCTCAACGAGTAGTCCTTAATGGGCCTAGGTCTACATGGAGGGAAGTAAGGAGGGGGGTCCCGCAAGGTTCCGTGTTAGGCCCAGTACTCTTCGATATCTTCATAAATGACTTAGATGAGAGAACAGAAGAGGGACTCATCAAATTTGCAGGTGACACTAAGCTGTCAGGAATAGCCAATACCCCGAAGACAAGCTCAGGATCCAAAAAGACCTTAATAGACTTGAACAATGGGCCCGATCCAACAACATACAGGGAGATATACCTGGTGGGACCCAGAAGAAGGGCCTTCTCCATGGTGGCTCCCTCTCTCATTCCCCCATAGATTAGACTGGCCCCACTCTTCTGGAAGGCACTGAAGACCTGGTTCTGCCAGCAGGCCTGGGAACGCAGAGTGGGATGGAACCTATTGAATAGCTTGTATGATGTGTTGTTGTCAGGGCAGGGGTTGGGGGTTATTTTATTATTTATTAATTTTATATGATTCTCTCTTTTGTTAATTTTATTGGGTTTTTTATGTTTTTATATTCCTCTAAGCCGCCTAGAATCACCATGTGCGAATAGGCAATATAAATCTATAAATAAACATGAAATTTAATGTGGAGAAAAGCAAGGTTTTACACCTGGATAGGAAGAACCAAAGGTACAAGTACAGATTAGGTGAAACCTGGCTCAAAAACAGGAACTGTGAGAGGGACCCTGGGGTCTAAGTGGACGATCACTGAAACAGGAGCCAGCCGTGTGTGGCAGCAGCCAAAAAGGCTAATACAATTCTGGGTTGTACAAACAGAGGCATAGAATCAAAAATCACGTCAAGTATTAGTACCCCTTTATAAAGCCTTAGTAAGGCCACACATGGAATGCTGCATCCAGTTTTGTCACCAACATTACAAAAAAAATGTTGAGACTCTGGAAAAAGCGCAAAGACTAAGATATTCAAACTAAGATGATCAAAGGCTTTGAAGACTTAAACCATAGGAAGAATGGTTGCAGGATTTGGGTATGGCTAGTGTAAAGAAGGACCAGGGAGGCCACGATAGCAGTCTTCCAGTATTTGAGGGGTTGCCACAAAGAGGAGGGGGGGGTCAATTTATTTCCCAAAGCACCAGAGGGACAAGAAACAATGGATGTAAACTCATTGAGAGAAGCAACCTGGAATTAAGAAACTTCCTAACAGGGAAGATGATTAACCAGTGGAACAGCTTACCACCAGAAATTGTGGGTGCTTCATCACTGAGCGATTTTAAGAAGAGACTGGACAGCCACTTGTCTGAAATGGTATAGGGTCTCCTGCTTGAGCAGGGGGTTGGACTAGAAGACCTCCAAGGCCCCTTCCAACTCTCTGATTCTCTATTCTTCTTCTCGAACCATGGAAATCCCCACTTGATGGTTCATTCCTCTTCCAAGGGCGGTCCTGCTTGCCCACAGTTTCCTAAACAGCTGAGCAGTGGGCTTGCAGGGTGAGATACAGTAGTTGGAGCGAATTCAGGTGATTCAATCGATAAAAAGTGAGGCCTCCAGATGTCTAACGCTGCCTTGGTTGGAAGAAACTTCAACTAGCTGGCCAATTCCTGCATCTGCGGGAAAAGTAGGTGTGAACAGTCAGCCGGCGGCTATGTGTAGAAACCACAAGTTCAGTACCAAGAAGGAAGATTAATATCATACGTCATTAATCATTCTCTAATATGATTCTAGTCATCCATCATGGAGATCCCCGCAGTGTCATGGGACAGACATAGACATAATTGGAGTCATGAATTGTTGCTCCGGAGAAATGCCTTGCACTTTTTAAGTGACCAGTCAATCAGAATAGAGATGGAAGGGACCTTGAAGATCTTCTAGTCCAACCCCCTGCTCGAACAGGAGACCCTACACCGTCTCAGACAAGTGACTGTGCAGTCTCTTCTTAAAAACCTCCGGTGATAAAGCACCCACAACTTCTGGTGGCAGGCTGTTCCACTGGTTAATTGTCCTTCCTGTTAGGGAGTTTCACCTTAATTCCAGGTTGTTTCTCTCCTTGATTAGTTTCCACCCATTGTTTCTGGTCCTGCCTTCAGATGCTTTGGAAAATAAATCGACCCTCTTCTCTTTGGGGAAGCCCTTCAAATACTGAAAGATTGCTATCATGTCACCCCTAATTCTTCTTTTCTCTAGATTAGCCAAACCCAATTCCTGTAACCGTTTTTTGTATGTTTTAGTCTCCAAGCCTTTGATCATCTTAGTTGCTCTTCTCTGCACTTTTTCCAAAGTCTCTCTTTTTTTTGTAATGTGGTGACCAAAACTGGATACGGTACTCCAGGTATGGCCTCACCAAGTCTTTATAAAGGGGCACGAATACTTCACGTGATTTTGATTCTATGCCTCTGTTTGTACAACCAAGGATTGTATTAGCCTTTTTGGCTGCTGCCGCACATGGCTGGCTCCTGTTTAAGTGATCGTCCACTAGGACTCCAAGGTCCCTCTCACAGCTCCTGTTTTTCAGCCAGGTCTCTCCTAATCTGAGCTCACACAGATTTTTCCTACCCAGGTGTAAAACTTTGTTTTTCTCCACATTAAATTTAATGTTGTTGGACAGGGCCCCTTGTTCAAGTCTGTCCAGATCTTTTTGGATCCTGAGCTTCTCTTCTGAGGTGTTGGCTGTTCCTGTCAGCTTAGTGTCATCTGCAAGATGAGTTCTCCTTCTGTTCTCTCATCTAAGTCGTTTATGAAGATATTGAAGAGTACTGGGCCTAAGGCAGAACCTTGTGGTCCCCCGCTGCTTACTTACTTCCATGCAGACGTAGCACCATTAAGGACTACTTGTTGAGTACGATTTGTCAGCCAGTTACAAATCCATCTGGTGCTGCCTATCCCACATTTTTCTACCTTACCAAGAAGTAGGTTGTAGTCTATGCCTTGCTGAGGTATAAATATACTATATGCACCGTTCAACAGTTAGAGAAGATAATTGCTTCTTCTACTGGGCAAACCACTCAAGATAACTAGGAAAAGGGACAGAGGGGATTTAAGGCTGATTCCTTTCTCTCCACCAAGCCAACTGGATCCATGCACACATTCTCACGCGGTACCCTAGGACTCACATTAAAAAGCAGGGCTGGCACAGGGGTGAACCGTTCTACGTGGATCATGCAAATGGCATCTGGCAGCTGTCCTTCCCGGGAGCCAACAAAAAACAATCTGTTAAGAAAGAATGAATGAGCGTCTTAAGTTGCCCTGTTGGTCCTCAAAGCCACTTCAAAAGGCAGAGATGCACAACTCCTAAAACATACAGAGAACAGTTGCAGGAACTGGGTACGACTAGTCTAATAAAAAGAAGGACCAGGGGAGACATGATAGCAGTGTTCCAATATCTCAGGGGCTGCCACAAAGAAGAGGGAGTCAAGCTATTCTCCAAAGCACCTGAAGGAAGGACAAGAAGCAATGGCTGGAAACTAATCAAGGAGAGAAGCAACCTAGAACTAAGGACAGTTAGAACAATTTGTCAGTGATGGTGTAGTGGTTAGAATGCAGTACTGCAGGCTACTCCAGCTGACTGCCAGCAGTTCGGTAGTTCGATCCTGACTGGCTCAAGGTGACTCAGCCTTCCATCCTTCTGAGGTCAGTAAAATGAGGGCCCAGATTGTTGGGGGCAATAGGCTGACTCTGTAAAACTGCTTAGAGTGGGTATATGTGTAAGTCCTATGAAGCGGTATATAAGTCTAAGTGCTAGTGGGAAGGAAGGAAGGAAGGAGGGAGGGAGGGAGGGAGGGAGGGAGGGAGGAAGGAAGGAAGGAAGGAAGAGCTGTGGTGGTGGCACAGTGGTGAGACTACAGGATTTCAGGCAAACTCTGCATTCCCCCAGCCAGCAGTTCAATCCTAACTGGCTCAGGTTTGATTCATCCTTCCAGCCGTCCGAGGTGGGTAAAATGTAGACCCAGATCGTTGGGGACATTAGGCTGACTCTGTAAAACCACTTAGACAGGACAGTCAAGCACCATGAAGCAGTATATAAGTCTAAGTGCTATTGCTAACCAGCGGAACAATTTACCTCCTGAAGTTGTGGATGCTCCAACACTGGATGTTTTTAAGAAGAGATTGGATTGGATTTTGTCTGAAATGGCATGGGGTCACCTGCTTGAGCAGAGTGTGGGTGTCTGTGTGTCTGTGTCTGTGTGTAGTAGAGGTGTCCAAGGTGGAGCCTCAGGACAGCCAAAACGGGGGGCCATGCCACACATCCCTGCACCCTGTTTTGGGCCTATGAAGCCTCCCTGGAGCCTCCTGGGAGCCAAAATGGGGCATGGGGGGGGGGTTGTACATCATCCTCCCCCCGCATGCCCCATTTTGGGCCTAGCAGGCCTCTCTGCATTTACCTGGGAGCTAGAATTAGGTGCCTGGGGACTCCTGAGAGGGGAGGGGAGGGGAGGGGCAAGGCAGGGCCAGCTGGTCTTCAGAACTACTGGTTCGCTGAACTGGATGTAAAATTAATATCCGGTTCGCCGGAACCAACCCGAATCCCACCCTTGCCAAGGTCACTTCCAAATTTTTTATTCTGTTAGGTCTGACCTAAGGACATTTCAGACATTGCACGACTCCCCTAGCAGCATCTCTGAAACTGTATAAAAATCCATGTACCCCTCAAATCAATTCGTCAGCTGACCCAGAACCACAAACCCTGCTGGTTCTGCTTCATCATTAACACCCACTTTCCAATCAGCCTCCATGTCGTTTTCCCCAGCTTGGAAGCGAAGCAGAGGGATATTTCTCCCAGCCATAGCAAAAGGGGATCACGTGACCCCGGGAGACTGCAACCATCATAAGTAGGAGTCAGTTGACAAGCATCTGAATTTGGATCACGTGACCGTGCAATGGTCATAAGTGTGAAAAATGGTCATGAGTCCTTTTTTTTTTCCACTGCCGTTGTAACTTGGAATGGTCACTGAATGACCTGTTGTAAGTTTGAGGACTAGATGAGTATTAGGTGGAGTATTATTTATTCTCCTGCAACTGGTCCCTTAAAGCAGAAGTTTAAAACTTATTTTGGGAAGATCCTTAAGAAGCAAAAAAAACATACTTCAAATATACCACAATGGTTTACCTGGAAGCAGCTAGAATAGAAGCATTAAGGCCTCCGAAGCAGGACAGGGCCACAGCAAGGGGTATGGTCCAACTCATCACTCCAAAAACTTGATCGCCAAAAGTCTAGGAGGGAAAAAGAGATTTCTTCTATAAGCTGCGGGCACTGACTTTATGCCAGAGCAGGAATGGACAATTATGATTTATGATCTGTGGACTTCAACTCCTAGAATTCCTTGGCTGGCTCAGGAATTCTGGGACCTGAAGTCCCCACAAAGCCAGAAAGCAGACGCAGTTGCCCACCCCTGGCTTAGAGGAACCATTGGGTGATGTCCACCATCAACAATTTGGGGAAACTTGAAACGTGATGCCATTCAGGTACAGGTAGTCCTCGATTTAAACACAACCACAACCAGGAACCAGAATTTCCGTTGTTCAGCAGGCTGTGCCCAATTCTTTTTCAGCCTTTTTGCCGTGGCTGGGCCTGTCACCTCCTCCGGCAGCCGAATCAGATGAGGAGGAGGCATGGGAGTCATGGTCAGCATCATGCCAATCTGAGAGCTCCGAGAGGGAAGAGGAAATGGAGCTGGCAGAGAGAGAGAAAGAGACAGGCAGAGCCTGGGCCGTCAGATGGAGAGTCAACAGCCCCAAGGTTTGGAGGTGGCTGATGGGGAAGAGGAGGAGCAGCTGGGTCCAGAGCGTGTGAAATGGCCTTGGAAGCCATTTTTTACTTGGAAGCTTTGCAGCTGTCACATTCAGGGCCTGGGAATTTGGGAGGGGGGATTTCATAGTGGGGTAAAAGACTAGACACAACAACATTCTTTCTCAGATAGTCAAGGTCATGTTGCCCTGCACCTGGAGGGGAGGGTCTGGAGGAAGGTCTCCAGTTGGGACGAAGATTTGATTGGGCCATGTGATGGACTGATGAGTGCAGAGGATAGATCTATGATTTCTTTTTCGGGAAGGGAAAACCCTGAACTCTCAGATCCGGGTTTTCCAAGATGTGTCAATATGACCACTCAAATAAAATGGAACTTTAAGAAATTGTTTGTCTCAGAATTTATTAGTTTGGAGTTGGTTAGTTGGAATGCTGTCAGAGTTTATCTTCCAGGATTTCCTTTGCAAGTGTGGGGGGGGGGAGAGGCGGAGCCTGGGCCATCCATCAGCCTCCACATGGAGAGTCAACAGCCCCAAGGTTTGGAGGTGACTGGTGGGGAAGAGGAGAAACAGCTGGGTCCAGAGCATGTGAAATGGCCTTGGAAGCCATTTTTTACTTGGAAGCTTCAAGGCTGCCACATTCAGGGCCTGGGAATTTGGGAGGGGGGATTTCACAGTGGGGTAGAAGACTAGACACAACAACATTCTTTCTCAGAGAGTCAAGGTCATGTTGCCCTGCACCTGGAGGGGAGTGAGTGGGGGGATGTCTCCAGTTGGGACAAAGATTTGATTGGGCCATGTGATGGACTGAAGGACGCAGAGGATGGGTCTATGATTTCTCTTTCAGGAAGGGAAAACCCAGAACTCTCAGATTCGGGTTTTCCCAGATGTGCCAATATGACCACTCAAATAAAATGGAACTTTGAGGAATGGTTTGTCTCGGAGTTTATTGGTTTGGAGTTGGTTAGTTGGACTGCCGACAGAGCTCCCCTTCCAGGACTTCCTTTGCAAGTGTGGGGAGAGAGAGAGAGAGGGAGAGATTCCTGGTGTGTTGACACCATTTCAGGGGGAAAGGGAGCAAGTGTCACTTTCCATGGGACTTAAGAGATTTGTTAACCTGCTCTGCGTGTGAGACACTTTTTGCCGGGGGCTGCTGGCGCTCCTAATAAAGGGAACATTCAGTTAAATACAGAGGGCTTGGCGAGTTTGGGAGTTGGGTCAGAACACGTGGTTTAACGAATCCAGCTTCCCACACCGGCTTTGCTTGTCTTGAAGCTGGCTGGCAGGGTTGCAAGTGGCGATCCCACAACTCCAGGACGCTGCCATCATCAGAAATACATGCCGGTCTCCTAAATTCTGATCAGCTATGGGGATGGTGCGACAGTCGTAAGTGTGAGGACCTGTCACAGGTCCATTTTTGCAGCGCTGTTGTTGATTTGAAAAGTCACTAAAGGAATAGTCATTAGGTCGAGGATTACCTGGTGTACACTGAGATATGATCTGATATAAAGTGAGGATTTCCCACCTCTATTATCAGACTCCAGTTCCCATAAACCACAGCATTCTAGCTCAGCATTGTTGGAACCTTTCACTATTTCCCGTCACTGCTATTGCAGAGACACTCTGGAAATGTTTCTTGGGCCATGATGAATTTCTCCCCAGAATTCCTGGATTAAAGCGTTTTTTAAGAAGAGTTCTTACCCTCTGATTCCTGGGAATTCAGTCATTTTAGGGATTTTTTTTTAAAAAAACAATTTTTTAAGGCAGCCCTGGCGACTTTAAGACCTGTGGACTTCAACTCCCAGAATTCTTCGGCCAGCCATGCACTATTTTAAGACTAAGCACGTCATTTAGTCATCATCTTCATTTAACAACCCCATAATCTCTTGCAGGGTGGCATCTGGGCAACTGAATGGAGCTAGCAGAGTGTTTTACTGGCTGGATGCCCTTCCTGTTGCCAATGCGGACTTTTGTTCAGCAGTTATATTCTCATTGTGCCCAGAGAGAGAAATATCTGCCTCTATCTAGGATCGAACTCACAGCTCCACCTCTAGGCCACCACACCACTCCAAGCATGTCTTTTAATGGCATTGTACAATATGTGGTCCCCTAGTTAAATGACTGTTTAAAGCAGGCCTGTCCAACCTCGGCCACTTTATTGTGGTTCGCTGGCAGCATGCGCGGACGGATGAGGTCTCGGAGAGTGAGGACTCAGATGAGGGGCCTGTGTGTGAGGCAGGGATGGGGCCAGGACTATCAGAGAGTGGAATGCTGCCTTCGGAGCTTGTGGAGGCTGGCAGCAATGGTGCAGAGGACCCCGAGGAGCCTGTGCCCAGTACACATGCGCGCAGGGTTGCTCAAAGGAAAGAGCAGCTGCAGCAGCACGGGCGACTCGGGAGTAAAGCTGCAAGGTAATGGCCCCTCCTTTAAGGGATAAAAGCCAGCCCCCAGAGGTAGGATTCTTTGCTGGAAGCAAAGAAGTTATTGCACTTCAAGTCCTGTGGAAGTTTGGACTATTCTGGTTTGTGTTTGGAGACTTTTGGTTCTGATTATTTCCTTGCAATTTAATCTAGTGTTCTTGGCAGCCTTGCACAACCTTGGCAAGGCTTGTTCTTATCTGGGACGATTAGTTTTTAATAGTGAAACTGTGAATGAACGGAATTTACAGAGAAGCATTAAAAAGGTTTTGCTTTTATCTCTGTTTGGTGTTTGCTTACTTTGAACGAGGCTTGGGTCAGAACACACTTTAAGACCTGTGGACTTCAACTCCCAGAATTCCCCAGCCAGCCAAGCTCTATGACAAGACTAAGGACATTATTTAATGGCATTGTACAATACATGGGGGGGGGGTTGTCTTTTAATGACCCCGTAATCCCTTGCATTGGAGTCGGGACAACTGAATGGAGCTGAGTGTTTAGTGGCCGGATGCCCTTCCTGTTGCCAATGCAGAGTTATATTTAGCAGATATGCCCAGAGAGAGAAATATCTGCCTCTATCGAAGATTCAAACTCGCAGCCTCCTGATTGTGAGGCGAAAGCTCCACCTCTAGGCCACCGCACTCAGCTGGGAAATTCTGGGAGTTGAAGTCCATGAGTCTTAAAGTGGCCAAAGGTTGAACAAACCGTGCTTTAGGGACAATCGCTACTGGATTTCAGGGACCCATCTCAGGAATGGGAAGAGATGTGCTTACTAACCACAGCCACGGCATCGCTCGACAGGATCTCCATCTTGCTCAGGACCGTGTAGTAGGCCACGTTGGTCATGATGTAGATCACCGTGACGATCGGCATGGATATCCCAATGGAGAGGGGAAGGTTCCTACGGAGTGGCAGGAAAGAGAATATTGTCACGTTTAGTGTCTCTGCTGCGGCTATGCACAGATTCTGAAAATTCTGGCCGGCCATCCGCTTCAGAGGAGTCCAGGCTAGGAGAGACAGCTTGAAAAACTAAATGTATGTATTTATTTGGGGTCTTTTTTTTTTAAACCCTGCCTTTATTGTTTTTTTATAAGCAAGTCAAGGTGGTGAAGATATCTACTGCTCCTTCCTCCTCCATTTTGCCCACAACAACAACTCTGTGAGGTGAGTTGGGCTGAGAGAAAATGATTGGCCCAAGAGAGTTGATTTTTATGTCTAAGACAGGACTAGAACTCACAATCTCCTGGGGATTGGCCCAAAGTCACCCAGCTGGCTTTCATGCCCAAGATGGAACTAGAATTCACAGTCTCAGATAACAGATAATCAGAATTGGAAGGGATCTTTTAGGTCATCTAGTCCAACCCCCAAGCCGGAGAACTTACACCATTTCTGACAAATGGCAGTCCAATCTCTTCTTGAAGGTCTCAAGTGATGGCACCCCCACCACTTTTAAGGGCAACTTCTGTTCCATGGGTTGATGGTTCTCACTGTCAGAAAATTCCTCCTTATTTCCAGGTTGAATCTCTCCTTGTTCAGTTTCCATCCATTATTCCTTGTCTGACCTTTGGGTGCTTTGGAAAATAGCTTGACCCCCCTCCTCTCTGGGGCAGCCCCTCAAATATTGGAAGACAGCTATCCTGTCTCCCCTGGTCCTTCTCTTCACTAGAGTAGACTAGCCATGCCCAGTTCCTGTAACCGTTCATCGTATGTTTTAGTCTCCATCCCCTAATCATCCTGGTTGTTCTTCTCTGCACTCTTTCTAGAATATCAACATCTTTTTTATAATGTGGTAACCAAAACTGGATGTCTCATGGAGATTGGCCCAAAGTCACCCAGTTGGCTTTTGTGCCCAAGATGGAACTAAAACTCACGGTCTCCTGGGGGATTGGCCCAGAGTCACCTAGCTGGCTTTTATGCATGGTTCATGGTTTCTAGGCCAGCCCCTACACCAAACCCGCTTTGGCTAAATTTCTTGGCTAAGTTTTCATATTTCCTTCACTTCTAGTGGCAATGAGTTCTCCTGGCTTTCCTTTCATTTCATAAAGGACGGGGAGCAAATCCCAACACCCAGTTGGGAATTCATTTCTTCCTTCAGTTAATTTTTTTAAAAAAAATCTCTGCTCAGTGGGAAAGCTCCTGCTTCCTTCCATTTCATATTCAGACTTTCTAGTCTTCCAAAAGACCTCATGGGGGGGGGGGAGTGTTCAAGGTTTCTCTTTGAAAATTGCAAAATTTTCTTGTTTGCTTTTTTCCTCTTTAAAAATGAAAATGTTTAATTTTCAAAGCATTCTACTTTGATAAGAGCTGTGCTGCAATGCCTAGCTTTGCCCAACAGGTGGCATTTGCTCTCCACCTTATTCCTCCCAAATAAAACTCTAAGAATTAGAATTAAGGAAAGAACAAAGCTGGGTATTTCATAGAATCATGGACCTCAGAGGTCTTCTAGTCCAACCCCCTGCCCAAGGGAGCTTTTGAGAGTCTGGCACTCGCCTGGCATGCTGGCACCTGTGTGCATTGAACAAATAAGTAAGTAATAAAGCCCTTAATCACCGTTCAAAGCAGACAGTTCTCGACTTATGACCCCAATGGAGACCAAAATTTCCGTTGCTAAGTGAGACAGTTAAATGAGTTTTGCCCCATTTTACAGCCTTTCTTGTTAAACGAGTCGGCATGGTTATCAAGCGAATCTGGCTTTCCCCATCGACTTCGCTTGTCAGAAGGTCACAGCCTGTCCTACCTCGCAGGGATGATGTTATGGAGGACAAGAGGAGGAGGAAACACCACGCACGGTGCCTTGTGTTCCAAGACAGAAAATAAATCAAATCAATGGCTGGAAACCCATCAAGGAGAGAAGCAACCTGACATTAAGGAGAAAGTTCCCAACAGGGAAGACAATTAACCAGTGGAACAGCTTGCCACCAGAAGTCGTGGGCATTCCATCACTGGAGGTTTTTAAGAAGAGACTGAACAGCCACTTGTCGAAAATGGTAGAGGGTCTCCTGCTTGTGCAGGGGGTTGGACTAGAAGACCTCCAAGGACCCTTCCAGCTCTATTCTATTCTGTTCTTCTAGTCTGTTTTTCTGTTTTATTCTATTCTAATTCTATTCTATTCTTTATTCTATTTTATTCTGTTATTCTGTTCTATTCTGTTATTCTATTTTATTCTGCTATTCTATTTCTATTCTATTCTATTGTATATTGTATTCTATTCTATTCAAGCCAACATGTTTAATTTCGACATAGAGAACTGTCTCTCTGTGCTGGTAAAAGACCTCCAAGGTCCCTTCCAACTCTAGTATTCTATGAAAATGTGGGGGAAAATTCTATTATATGACCCAGAGAAACAGCACAGTCTAGTTGAGATGTATATATGCATCTACGTGGCGAGGAACACAGGGCTAGGCCATGTGAATTCCGGCACCCAAGGAAGAGAAGGATCCTTCAGCCAACGAGAGACTCCTGCCAACTTTAATCTCCAGCAAGGAATTTATTGACGGGAGAGACAAAGTCTGAAGAACAAGGAAGGGCCAGTTGATTGGGTTCAATTTCCCTCCTTCAATTGTCCCCTTTTGGGAGGGGGAGCATAAAAATAATTCCTAAGGTCGTTCCAGGGAAACGGGTGGGGAAAGCACATTGCAATCTCCTTCTGGAGGTGGGATGGGAGTGTTCTGACCTAGGCTTCACAAAATCACAAAGAAGACTCCTTGTCCCGATAAAACCCTTTTTACTTAGGTTAAAGGGAATTCCTCTCCAGCAAAGTCCCGGCAAATAGTCTTTCATGAGATTTCACAACTACTATCTTCTAAACGCCATGCTGTAGCAGCAATTACTTGGCAAGAAGCCAGAAACAGATCTTCACCCTAATGAATTGAATTGATTGTCTCCTGCAAACCCCACTCCCCTTTCGCTCCTCTTTTATTCCTTCTGGGAGGGGCCATTCACCCTCCACCTGAGCCTTTACTCCTGAGTCGGCCCTTGTTCCTTAACTGTTCCCTTCTCCTGGCAGCTCTGTGCATGCGCACACTGGGAACAGGCTCCAGCTGTTCTTCTGCCCCACTGATGTCCGACTCCACTGATAACTGTCAAATGGCCCTGGCCCCATCTCTGCCTCTCTGTGAGCCCTCATCAGAGCCTTCCCTAGACTCCAGGACTGGCCCATGTTCCTCCCCAGCCTCCTCACTGTCCAAGTCTGCCGCCAGCTCTGCTGGCTGCTGGCAGCCCACAACAGGGAGCACGCCAAACCCAGTGATCTCACAGGCTTGGGCCGAGTGAAAACCCATCCGACTGTTGGCGGGACTGACCTTTCAGGGTTCTTGATCTCTTCCGTGACAAAATTTAGGGTGTCCCATCCAGAATAGGAGAAGAGGGCAGAGTAGAGAGCCAGTGCGATGCTGCCCACGTCCCACGCAGAGCCCTCGAAAGTGTCAGTTAAGTTCTCTGAGCGTCCTGCGGGAGAAGAGTGGAGGGTTTAGCCCAAAATAACATAGAACACCAGTAGTCCTCGACTTATGACCGCAAGCGAGCCCCCAAGTTTCTGTTGCTAAGTGAGACAACGGGTTAAGATAACCGTTGTGGGATTTTTCTGGGCTAAGTGGATCGCCGCCGTTCTTCAGTTAGGAACACAGTCGTTAAGCGAATCCGGGCTTCCCCGTGGACTTTGTTTGTCAGGACAGTTGCAAAAGGGGATCACATGACTCCGCCCCTCCCCCCACCCTAGGGATGCTGCAATCGTCGTAAATACGGGTCAGTGGCGAAGCGTCTGAATTATTAGAAGAATTAAAATTAGAGTTAGAATTATTAGAAGAATAAGAATTGGAAGAATTAGAATTAGCATTAGAATTATTAGTATTAGAATTATTAGCATTAGAATAGAGCTGGAAGGGACTTTGGAGGTCTTCTAGTCCAGCCCCTTGCTCAAGCAGGAGAACCTATACTATTTCAGATAAGTGACTGTCTAG